CCATATTGATAATATTTAGCACTCAAGTTAAGTTTTACACATTATCAATCTGGGATCCCTCAGACTCCTGTTTGGGAAAAGGAGGAACATGAAGAAAAAGCTTCTAACACGAGAGAAAGAACAACAACTTATGCTTTTAAGCTCCTGCTGTTCTCCTCTTAAAGATAAAATTGGGGAAGCCAACAAAAGAGAGATGATAGCAGCAGCCATGCAGGCATCCTACTGCTAGCTGGTGGCCGATCTGTACTGTGTAAAATGGGTGAAGCAGGATTCTCATGTGTTTGTGAACTCACAAATACTGAGAGAATTCAACTGGTAAGCAAGGCTAGTTGTGTTATTTACAAAATAGCTTTTACCCAGATCTGACTTTGAAAGGGTCTCACCCTAACATCTTATGGGCAGTAAGTTGCTTGGAAGAAAACATAATGAAGCTGTGAGCAAGTTTAGATACAGAGTCAGCGGTAGAGGCTTTAGCCATAATGGAGCAGTGACCATAGAAGAGAGCAGAACCTAACACTGACACTTACTGATCTTTACAAAGTATAAAAACACACAAACATTTATATTCACTTTTGGAACTTAAATTAGACTAAATATCTAATTGAGGTCTGTTCAGGGGATTTTTAAAAATTCCAAATGTCAGGATAATAAGAAGTTAAAATGTATGCTGTGTATGGGGGATTGCTGCAGTGTAGACGACACCATGAAAACGACCGCTCGCTGCAAGATCCAGGAGGAATGAATGCTGCAAATCAATGACTTGATGCAATCACCTAGGTTTCTATGGAAACCCGGGTGATTGCAAAAAAAAAAGAAAATAAATTACCTACTTTGTCTCATGGATCTCATGGAGTTGGCTTTGAAAAGTGCCTTGAGAGGCGTTTTGATTAGCACAATGTAAATAAACTAAATTTAAATGAATCTAACTTAAAATTTAAATGTTTTGATGTATAGAATAATAACTAAATGTATTTTTTTCTGTCAAATGTTATGTTAAAGTAATTATAGTTTGAAGTAATATGGCTTTATGAGCCATTTCCTGTGGACAGTAATATAGCTCTGAGTTTTCAGGGCAATCCAACAACCAGTGATTGAGAGGGACACTGCTGTTACTGTAGCTCTGCTAAATGGGTGGTTATGGTTGAACTTGGTGGTAATGTTTAAACTTGGCACCATTAAGTGCATTGGCTTACACAAGCCCTCAAAATTAACCATACGTTTAATTTATTTTATGCCCTTTGCTTTTTTGTCATCAAATCTTCACTTTTCTAGCACATGTCATTTTTGGCTAAGAAGTTGATGCGGCTCCGACATGCAAAAAAGCTGAATGGACTCTATTTAGGTCATGGCTTAAGGTGCTTAAATGGTGTATTATATTTGCAAACAGAACCACAAAAAGTGCATATTGGGTTCTTGTCACAGTTAAATAGTGAACAGAGTTCTGACTCCTTTTGGATGGTTTCATGTTTCCGTTCTGACTTGCTCTACATAATGAACAGCTGCTGCCTCTTCTATGGACAATATCAGTTAATCAGACAGAACAAACGTTTACAGGCTATTAATTAGCATTTAATCTTAGGTCATTTATTTGTTCACAGCCCTACTAACAATGGAATTTTTTATGAGTGCGGTTATCCAGTAATTATTTAATTTCAAAGTTTTTAGCTGAACTAAGGTTATTGTGATTAGCCTTTAACCTAAAAAAAATAACTGGGATTTATGCCACCATAGGGTAGCATAAACTTAACTGATTCTCTTTTAAATAAAGTCTGTATGAAGAGAGATCTACCGGAAAAAGGAAGCTAAAATATAAATGTAAAAAAAAAAAAAATCACACTTATCAGTATCTGAAAAATACTAGAAACAGATGTTTTTCTGTGCTTTGAAAGACACTTTAGGAAGCAAATTAACTAAGGTTCTCACGGTATGTAAGAAAAAAAGTGCTGACCTGTGGTAATTACTTTGTAAACCAAATTGTTATCTTGTTATTACAACACGCCATCTCATCCTTTTTCTTTTCAGAGGTCAGTTAGTGTCATGACATCTGCACTCTAATTATAATGAACTTAAGAATATTTGTTATTAAATGTGATGACTGACATCAGGCTAAAAATTATACAAAAAAATAAAAACACATCAGCATAAAATATGTTATGTTTAGAAAGATCATTAAGCTGAACTTCAGAAACCTTCCTTCTTCTTGAAAAATAACCCAGATTAGTTTTTCACACTGTGTCCCTTAATGAGGATAGTTCAGTTCTTAGTCACAACTGTGGCGGCAGAAATCTCAGCTGCAAAGTGACCCTCTATTTTTTTTTCTTTGAACAGAATCCCTTTCTCTTTTCAAACAAATTAAATTGCTTATTTTTCCAGTGTAGCATGAACTTTTACATATACCTTTATAAAGTTTCTAGACAGGGAAACCATACATGGAAAAAAGAACACAATTACCTTTAGAGAAGCAGCCTTTTTTGGGGTAAGACAGCTCTCAATAAAAACATATGTGTAGGTACTTTTGTAAATGTAAGTAAATAAAGAATAAAGTAAAGATTTGCATTTATTCCTTGTTGTAGACTCATAGATACAAGTGAGATCCGATTTATATACACGTTTAGAAATTATGAATACAAGTAACAACTTTGCAACAACACGAAATAAAGGAGTGTAACAGCTTCATCAAGGGTTTACGACTTGCCCTTTGCCTAAAATTTGTGATTTGTACTTGAAGACACCATAAGGAATTAGGCCGAAAATGATTGCTGCATTATTGCTACAGTCTTTGTTATATTAGGAAGATCTAATCCAGTTTTTATGGGTGCTACTGTAACTGTAGCACCCTTTAACAAAACGCCATGCAAGGGGGGGGAGGGACTTTTAAGTTATTCAGATTTGAGCGAGTTGACCCAGCCTAGTTAAGTCGGCAAGGTAACAAGTCGACTTTTTGGTGAATGCCCTACTTGCATTGTTGCAAAGTTGCATCTTGTATCACATCAATGTTTGGGTTGATCTATAACAAAACACGTAACCCCATATAACTCCAAAAAGATCTGAAAGAGTTGCAGGAGTTCTGCTGATGTTGTAATATGTGCTTATCATTTATGAGGGGCGTTCAATAAGTAATGCCCCGACCCACTTCTAGTTCTTTCATCTAACTGAAATTTTGCATCTACAATTACTTATATCTCTATAGATTAAATGGCAAATTGCAGCTCTGAACTGATTGTGGCTTCTCATTTATAGATGTTTGAACTGAGTCAGGTTTGAAATGGAGCCTGTTGAGGATCGAGTGGTGATTTGGTTTTTTGTATGTGAAAAGGACACACACCACGGGAGACTTTTGATTGAATAAAAGTAATTTACGGTGATGATGCCCAATCATATGGCCTTTAAAAACTTTTTACAAGGCCATATGATGGAGCATGAAACCAAAAGTCTCCTGGGGTGTGTATCCTTTGAAATGCAAAAAAACGGATTATTGCAGGACACCCAACAAGCTCCATTTCAGACTTTACTCAGTTCAAACACCTGCAAATCAGAAACCACAACATGGTGGTTCCAATGCACAATTCCAATGCCCTAACCTGGTGGTTAGAGCATTGGAATTGTGCTCTGAATTGGCTTGGAATCTCAGAATTCAGAGGTTCCGAGTTCAGGCCCCACTCCCACAGAATGCTCCTCTGGATACCTGAGCAAAAGACCCTTAAACCCACACTGCTCCCCAGGTGCCACACAATGGCAACCCACTGCTCCCAAAGGAGATGAGTTAAATGCAGACAGTTAATTTCGTTGCTCTGTACTTGTGACAGTGTAATGACAATAAAAAAAAACTGAAAAAACAAAACAAACAATAGGTTCAGAGCTGTAATTTGCCACATAATCTATAGAGATATACATATTTGCACATGCAAAATTTCAGCTAAATTAAACAACCAAAAGTAGGTCAGGGGCATGTACTTATTGATCCCGCATTTGAAATTTCAAAAGTGTCAGTAAATTCATCAATAACAATGACTTTACTGTCTCTTAATGCCTCTATTCCCTCGTTCCTCTCTGTGTTTGATTCTTGCTAAATGCTCGGTGCCCGTGTCTTTTAGCTTCATTGTTTTTATCCATCAATTGCATAAATTGATATGATGAGAAAAAAATGCTCTTAAATTCTCCTTTAAAGTCTCTCTTTTTTTTTAAACATAAATATGACAAAGATAATATTTCTATTTGCAACTTATCATCTATGTGCTCTGCTACCCTCTTTCTTATCCTCCTGTATGTTAATCTTTGTATCTCTCAGTTTATTTCAACTGTGATTTTATCTTTAAAACACTTTCACAGTTAAATAAAAGAAGCATTTTGCCAACCAATGAAGAGCTTTTGACATTTACAACTCCTGAACACATTACCTCCTAATTCTGTAAAATTGTCAAGTTCAAGTTCAAGAGACTGTAAAAGTAATTTGATTTTTATCGTGTCAAATGTCTACTTATACAATGTATTCATTTTCTTAGCCTTTGAAATAAAGGAAATGTTCAGATATGAGTGGGAAGCAGCTGCTACTCACTCAGTACTGATGGAAGACACAAAGAAAGAAAGATATCCAGAAAGAGGACAGACGAAAGAGTGAAGAGAGATGAAGTGAATAAAGAAACAAAAATAACATTGTTCTGTGGGACTTGATTTTCCTTTTTAACAACATCCTGACCAACCAACAAATATTTGTGAAGAGACAGTCTGAATGACAGTAAACTCATATTATGCTCTGCCTTCCTACATATTGTCAAACTTTCTAACAAAAACCAACACACTCCACATTATTTGCACATCCCTATTTGTCTCTGTGGACAGAATCTTAACAAAAATGTGCCTGTGTGTTCCTCTGCCTCTAGTCCACAGATGCCTGAGTGCTGTGTGTGTGTGTTCAGGTGTGGATCTCTGCAGGTTTTCTCAGTGTGTGTTTGCGTGAGTGCGTGTGTGTGTCCGTGACAGTCTGTCACTGATGTACGTGCCTTCATTCGTTTCAGAGGATTATTCATTTCCTTTTGAAGTGAGGCAGCTCGCCCGGCAAGGAAGGTCTGAAAGGCGGCCGAGAGCAGGCTTTCATACTTTTCCAACAGCAGCTTGTCGTCTGGGGGGTAAATACGTCTGCAGGCCACAGAGACAGGGAGAGAGAGGGGCAAGGAGAGCGAGAAAGGTACAAAAATAAATAAAAAATAGATGGAAAATGGAAGGTAACAAAAAATGGGGTATCATTGAGGCAAGACGATGTGAAATGTGAGAGGGGAAATAAAGTGTGGAGAGGAGGAAGAACAGATGGAGAGAGAGTGGGGTTAAGCAAAAGGAAGCATCAAGGTTAAAGGGCAAGTTATATCATTTGCATAAGTTTAGAAAAGTTAAAGTAAAAGTAAAATTAAAATTAAAAGAATGAACAGAAGTTGGACAATGTTAGGAGATACAGAGGGAATAAGAGTTAAGTTAAATTAAATAAATGGATAAAATGAGAAAAACATAATTGGGAGAAACGGATTACAGCATGTCAAGAAAACGCCAAGTGAAAATATGCATTAATGCGTCTGTTCGCACATTTTAAAAACTACCATCAAGACTAAACTAACCATAGTGTTTATCTTGGATCTGAAGAGATTAGAATAATGCAACCTCTGGCTGGTTATCCTCAAAATACATCTCTAAAAACACCCTCATCATCGCATTGGCCATCAAATCCAAACAATGTCAGCTCTCTAAGCAAAATAATCATCATGCAGTTTAAGTGCAAAAGCAGCTGAATGTTCTGGCATGTGAGCGGGACTATTGGGAGCCAATTCCCAGTCTGTTAGAGGGCCCTCCTGATTCAGACATAGCTGTAATGTCTAAAGCAGAACACATTGTTATATAACTATATAAATACTGGTTTCTAAAGATGTGCTTGTGACATGCTCTTATATCTCAGCCTGTGAGTTCAGTGCATTTTAGAGCAATGAAAATACCAAGTAAAGGTTAACTGTTTCACCATTAAAACTTTAACTGCTTCCCATCTGCAACTTATAAATTTATGCACTGTGGCGGTTCTGGGTTCATGATTTCCATATTGTTGAAAAGTCGATACAGTTCTACATAAATGCAGATATAGAGGCTGCAAAATACCTGATCCATGGAGGGAAGTTCACATTCTGGCTTACAGAGAACTTCGACAGACAGCCAGAGCAACAATAGGATCATTTTGGTGAAACCATATTTTAGTCAGGATTCAGAACAAAATTAAATTCTATTTAGAGAAATTCTTAGTCTAATCTGACTACTTTGCTAGTAAAACTGGCAGGGGAAAAGACATTTTATATAGTAGTTATATAAAGCTGGTAGAGACAAATCACATAAGACTTGATTTTAATTAACAGGAAAGGTTGCTTCTACCATGAAAGGAGAAAGCTTTATACTTATTTTTATTTGCAGAATATAAAGAAAAACCTGCAACTTCACAGATATGCAGTACTTTGTGTCAGTCTGTTGCACAAAAGATGCATAGCAGTCGGTGGTTGTTATGTGAGCAGGTATGAAAAAGTTCAAGGTATATGAATCCTTCTGTGAGGTACTGCTTTGAGTCATATCACTTTAAAGGAGTATGGACCTGATTTCATCTCTTTTCAAAGACACACTTGATAAAAAAAAAACACATTTAAAAAGTTCTCATGGTATAAATATCATCAAAAGAAATAATAAGTGCTAGAGCTTGCCAGTAGTTAAGTGGGCTGATCTTAACCACAGAGATCATGGTCAATTCCTCAGCAGGACAAGTAAAGCCCTCACTTTTTGATATGGATGCTTCAATTGGTTTGATGATTTGATTTTTGTACATGTGATCCAACTTAAGTGAAATGTAGAACTCTAACTACTCATTTAAGATGAAAGAAAAATCTCCCTTTGTTTTTTTTTTTTTTACTTGACAGCCCCTTTAAAGCCTCATGGCTTCTGCCGTGTGAAATGATAGCGAATGAGCAACAAGCAGCTGGGTCTCCCTTGGATGTAACACGGGCTGTACCTGAAACAGATTTCATTTAATAGCCAAATGTAAGTGAGTTCATTACCCAAACCCATCTAATGAGGAGCAGTGTGTTAATCAGAGTTCAGCACGGCGCTGGGGCACCATTTGAATGCTAAGAGGTCTTTATTAGGGCTGCTCCAGACAGACCTCAGCCTGCCTGATTGACTGTCTGGCAGCCTGTCGAGGAAAAGGAAGGAGGAAGCAGCACTTCATGCAGGCTTTGAGAAGCATTTTAAGCAAAGAATCAGTCATGAAATGAGTCAAGAATATGCTTTGTCTTTTAGAGAGAGAAAGACATGAAAGAGTGTCTGTTTTTGTTTAGAGAATTAAGAGAAAGACAAAAGAGAAATAAAATGATTTGGATGCCAACGTGCTGTATAAAGAAAATTATGTATAAAACGAAGTAAAGAGAGTGAGCAGTTTAAACGGTAGAAATGGTACGTTTTAGCTTGCTAAGTTATGCTTTAGGGTGAAAATTTAAATGCTCTGTGTCTTCCAGAGACCCAGCTGGGGGTATTAAGGAGAAGGGGGAGAAAAGGTTTTTCAGGGAGGGATGAAATGGCTCGCAGCCAGCAATCAAAGTTTAACTGCTAATCTTTGTTTCTAAAATGTGGCAAATGGGTAAAAACTTGCAGAAAAGAAGCCATTCCAGCCTCCTTTCTTTTGCTTTTCTATCTTTAACGTGTTTATTCCTTTTCTCTGCAACGTGCAAAAGGACTGCTTTTTTGTTTTATTTTGTCAGCAGCAATATTTATTCAACCAAGAGTTTGACATTTTGCAGATTACCTTGTAAATGTGAAAAACCTGGCACAGAAACAGTGGGTGAAGTTCCTGGAGGGAGAGCCCAATTTTCCCAGCTGTTTGCCTCGTCCTTACCTGTAATTCCCCAGATGTTGATTTTCATATTCTTCCCTGGAAACCTGCTTGCGAACCTGTGCAAGTCGCTCTTTCTAGAAACAAAAGGAAAATATTTCAATTAAACTCGCTAAAAGATAAACTAAATGTATTCTTGCAGAATACAAGGCGAAAAAGAAGGAAATCACTGCCACCGATGAATAATATGTTCTCCCTTTCCATCTCTCATTAGTTTTTTTACAGGTCTAATTGAGTGCCTAAGCTTGTCAGATTGATTAAAAGCAAAGATATGGGGATCACTTTGCCACTAGCTCCGATGTATCATTAAATGGTGAGTGATGTAAGCCTTCAGCACACCTGAAACTGAGCTCACACTTCAGCCAAAACAGCACTCAAAAATGAGGTGGTGCCCTTTTTCCAAGAGCGGCCCTGATCCTTTACTCCTTATTCCCACTGATTACAGCTGTGGCTATCAAAAGGCTAATCAAAGAGGGTGGGAGGCATTAAAGCCTTAGTGGCTGCCACTTTCCCCCATCTAGATGAGGAAAGCTCCTCACATCCTCCATTTAAAGAAAAAATAATTAGATGGTGCATATGCCGCAGAAAACTTAAGACTTTTGTGACATGTGCTTAGAAATAAGTGAAACTTCTTACATTTTTGTTCCCATTTGAACCTAACAGTTCGTTTCTTAATCTGCAGCATATCAGCACGCTGTTCATATCTTGCACAATAAATACGTCTTTATTTAACAGTACTACATCCTAAAATACTTCGATGCAATCCAAAAATACCCCAAATTCAATAACTATGAAAGTACAAAGAAAACTAAATGTGCTGTCAGATTTAACTTTCTTACCTTTTAATTTGATTTTTGCAACAGCTGAGACGGAATAGCAGCATGTTTCACTCAGCATCACTACATGGTTACCTCTAAATAAAATATGATACCTATAAACACGGGAGAGCTGAGCCTACCACTGTGTCTCATGGTACAGTTAAAAATTATGAGAGTAAAGTCTTCTCTTCCTCTTCTTAACAATTTGAGGCATCCATGCTGAGTGAACTGTCCTCAGCCCAGCCCAGATTTTCCATCTCCACTCAGCCAAAATCAGACAATACATGAACTTTTTGAACAGAGTTTGAAAGAGTAACAAATTGTTTTTTACTCTCAGAATATCTCACATCAGTGAGGACACTAAAGGCACAGTGGAGGTCAGCAGTCGTCATAGATGCTATTTCAAGAGTGCCTGCAATTAGGAAGGAGCCAGGACCAGCAAGCAGTTTCCTACTAAAAATGCAGTTAGCATAGGGATGTCTTCGAATCCCTAGCCGGCGCTAGCAGGTCGCCAACAATCCTTTGCATGACAGACCGTATAGGCATAGCTATCTTCATGGAGTTAACCATGAATGCATTATTTCATGTCATGTACTCTGTCTCACACATGCTAGACTTAGACAACTTTTATTTTAATTTTTGTATACACAGAGTGTATATAAAAAGTAATTTAGTTTAGTACAGCTTTTCAGACAGTAAATGAACATTTCCATTCCATAAAGTCCAGCAGTGATCAAATGTGAACAGTGCGGTAGGAAAAAAACATGTTGCAAAAAGGCAATGATATGGTGTTATCAGTTTGATGCAGATTCTGTGACATGATTTAGAGTTTGTTTTTTTTTTCTCAACAGTTCAGCTGTCTGATGGCAGTGAGGAAGAAGCTGTTGCAGAATCTGTTTGACCTGCATTGAATGCTGCGAAGCCTCTTCCCAGAGGGCAGCCGGGAAGACCATGGTGGGGGTGTGAGGGGTCATTTATGATGTTACAGGCTCCCGACACACAGCGGTGGGATAAAATGTCTTTTATTAAGGGAAGAGGAGCTCAGATGATCCTCTCTGCCAGGCATCCCCAAAGTCGGTCCTCGAGGGCCACTGTCCTGAAGGTTTTAGAGGTTTAATTGCTCCAGGACAGCTGGTTTTAATTGAGAGCTGATTACCAGGCTTTTGCGCAACTGCAGTCATCATATTTAGCTATGCTAAAGCAAGGAAATATCTAAAACCTGCTGGACAGCGGCCCTTGAGGACCGACTTTGGGGAAGCATGCTCTCTGCTGTTCTAACCACTCTTCTCAAGTTCTTCCAGTCTGAGGCACTGAAGCCTCCACACCAGACAGTGAGGCAGCTGCTTAGAACGCTCTTTAAGGTGCTTCTGTTGAAGGTTGAGAGGATGGGTCGGGGTGGGTCCCCAAACATCCTCTGCAGGAAGTGCAAGTGCTTTTGTGCCCTTTTTACCAGTGAGGTGGTGTTTACAATCCAGGTGAGGTTGTCTATGATGTGCACCCCCAGAAATTTAGTAATGCCGACAACCTCTACATCTGAGCTGTGGATGAGCAGTGGAGCGTGGTTAGGCCGATTCCTTCTGAAGTCGACAATGATCTCCTTTGTCTTCTCCACATTCAGGATCAGGGTGTTATCTTTGCACCAGCCCACCAGCTGCTTCACCTTCATGCTAATGTACACATCTTCATACATTTTAGGTTTTATAATGAAGAGCTTAATCAGTTTGCTTTGTTTCTGTGAATATTGTTCTCTGTAGTTCTTTTCCAATAGGCTGTGGTCCCAATTTGATCACGGTGGTTCATGTTTGTGTGTCCGTCTCCGCCACATAATGTAGTCTGTTAGCCTTAAGGCTATCAAGATTCAGCACAGCTATCCGGAGTTCCTTTCCTACTTTGGATAGTGTTCTAACTGTTGACCCAGTAAATGGCTATGGGATAGGAGTGAGGAATAGGAGGTAGGAGCTACAATGATAGGAATTTTGGATCATCACTGAGTTATAAAATATGCTTTAACAAATCAAAGAACACAGAGGCTAATATGGGTCTTGTATCTGTCCCCTGTAAAAATGTCAAAAGTCCTTCAACATTTTTTGTATAATGTAATGTGACTGATGAAATTACTATTAAACCATTGGTTTGTAACATTACTAGACATGAAGCTAACAGCTCAAGCTAGTTTTGACATCAGGTTGCATGGCATATATTTTATTAAAACTGTGCTACCAATCTGAGTATTCCAACACCTAACATAATGGATTTTTGCAGCCATTTAAAAGGAATTTATCCCATATTCATGTATGTTTGCAAAATTAGGACAAAAAGGAAAAAAGGGGATTCTCAAAGAACAGTGCTGATGACACTGCGCAGAATGCATGAAATATTTAATGCCATTTGACAGTAATGAGTAATTTTGATGAAGTGAAAGAAACAGGAAAATATAGCTCATATGTCAGAATGGATGTACAAAGTATAATCAATTTTGATACAGAGGGTGAACTATGTTTTCATTTATCCAATATGTTCTAAAAATGAAAGCAGAGTAATTCTCTCCTTTGACCACAGTTAGAAATCATTACCTTATGCAGGATATGACCTCAACAGAGGCTATGTTTCCACTGGTCTGGGGTCAGCAACTAATAGAGCTATCATTTACCAAAGAAACTGCATTCGGGATGGCGCAAGACTGAAAGAATGTTTAAAAAAACAACATGCAAATATAAATTAACTGAACGTGTGTCCAATTTGTGCCATACCAGCTCCTCTTTTCTTCGTTCCAGAGTGTGACGTTGTTTCTCCCAGTCCGAGGAAGTTGCTGCAAGTTTTTTCATGGAGCCATGTCCATAAAGCCGTCTCTGAGCCTCTGCCTTCTCCTGAGCCAGGTTTCGTTTCTTATCACTTGCCCTGTACCACAATTAAACAAGTAATAAAAAGCCCATTAAATGCTTAGATTTGAGGAAGTCTCTGAGGAAAAGCTATTGATATTTTTCTTTTTTGCAATGCTGTATGGTTGTTTACTCTTCTAATGTTTGCCACATATGAAGCTGTTTGATAGTTATTTTATAAACATTAAAAAACAAATTTGTAGGATAGATGTATTGAGGATGTTTGACAGCTTGTTTCCACGTAAGAATTTACTAATTAATAAGATGAAAATGGCTCTTTTCAAAAGACTCAGACAATATATTGAGAAAAACAGAATCTAGAGTCCAGATATCAGTTAGATTAGCAAGATCAGTCAGATTTTCCTAAACCAGTTGGTTGCTAAATGTTAGGGAGAGGAACATTTTGTTTAATTTAGTTGGTGGCACTTTTAACTGAATACTAAGTGCTGTTGGTGCTTTTAAACTGATGCCAGTTTAATGCCGTTTGTATTGTGAGCAGACCTATAAAGCAATCAAAGACCTTAAACACAAATGACGACTTCATCTGGGTAGGGAGAGTTAATAATATTAAGGAGTTCAACAGGGCTGCCTTAGATTCTATGAACTTAAGCTTTTTATTCTGAATATTTCTATTGCCTTCAAAACATGTTTTTACCGCTAAAATAAAACCTAATTTTGTCGTGGTCGTGAGAGGCTGATTGCCCCTCTGTATACTAAATGAGCAGGATGCACAATGAAGCTGAAACCTGGCCCGATGGAAAAAATTCTCGCATGACTGGAAGATCAGCCTGAAAAGGGCAACAAAATTGTACAGTGTGTGCTCGGCTTTAATAACAATATTGCTCTTTTTTGGGAGGTTTATGTTTATTTAGCAGCTGTAGAGCAAGGCTGTGGTAATGTTATTTTTTGAGATCTTTGGGTTCAGCCCTCTGCCAACAGGAAGGTTCTTTATCAAAAATGTTAATGACTTCAGCTTGGTTTATTCTTGACCCGTACATGTTCCTCGGGAAAATGATACGCACTGAATCAGGCTGATACAACCTTTGGGTACATTTTGACACCATGTGGCTTTTCTGCCCTCTATCCGATATGGTACATTCAAATGGGCATTCAAATGGGACTGTCCATGTAGTTAATATAATTAGGTGTGCCTAGTAGAAAATTTGGGCTGCTCGAGAGTTTTAAATTGATCACCTGGTATTGTGCAGAACGCAAGGATGCTTCAAGCATGAACCAATTTTAATGGCCATGTTGAGAATATCTTTAACGGTCTGCTAGACAACTGTAAAGTCAAAATCATTCTCAATGACTCTATGAGCTGTAAAATTTCCTGAGAAACAGATTATAGGGTATTCATCAGCTTAAAGTGGTAATCTAAAATTAAAATACTAGAAATGTATCACTTTGTTTGTGATAACTCATTCTTAAACTCTTAATTCAATTACTGAAATGGATGATTTTGTTATTTACTTAGATGCTCCTAACATATATGTTTTCTTTGTCTGTGTTGCATTATGTTTCTGTATTTTCATGACTACTGAGAGGAGACTAAATTTAGAGTAGCTAGAAGAGGACATACGAATGAAAACCACAAAGGGAGCAGAGATCTAGAGGTCTTGTGTATAGTGATCAATCAGAGGACCAAGTCACTGTAGCCAGGGGACAGAAAAGCTTGCCCACGATTACACACACACAGCAGTGCACAACAAAAAATAGTACGTTTACAAAAATATACCAAGAAAAAAGAGTCTATGTAAGCAGAACGGAGAAACAAAGCAAGCAAAAAGTACAACACAGGAAGCTAAATGTATGATCAAAGAACAGTAAAATGTGGATTTAAAATCACAGACAGCGTAAAAGTAATGCTAACGCTGACATAACTCACATCGGCAACATGTGTAACACATAACATAAGCTTTTTTCTCCAGCTCTATGTCTTACGTTCAGGCGTTAAGAAAATAAGGAAACCTTCCAACAGCTTGTGTGATTATCTAAGACATTTGGACAAACAGTAATGGCAATTTTAACATTGTACAGTCTTCCTTTCGCATTGTTGTAAGAGTTTACCAGAAGATAATGAATATATTATATAACTAGAACTGGAAGTGATAGTTAATTAATAGGTCATTCAAATAAAGGGTAAAACTTATTAATTATCATCAGTTGAATGATTATAACTGTAATTTACTTTTAGCCTCTTACCTAAAAGGTTGGACTCCTGAATCTGGCTGTTAAAAATTCAGTTGTCCTTCGCCAATTTAGTAATTTAGGCTATGGCTCTTAGCAATGTTAATCATCACCAACCAACTAAATGTGTCTCTGTTCAGTCGGATGCTACTGAAAAAAGAGTGAATCCAGCCTGAGTGATAAATCATTCACTGTGTAAAATAAACACAAAAGAGTGCAAGTTGAAATACAATGGTACCTTTATCAGCTACAGTCACACAGTATTTTATCTAATAACTAAGCAGACACTAAACACAACTGAAAATAAGCAAAAATAAAGAAATTAAAGAGGAACAGGTGTTTAAAAGTCGATTCACAGTCTGAGGAATGTTCAAAGTTTTATGGGCTGGTTATACTCACGCAGCAGTGTGTCACAGTGAGCCTGTCCAAGATATTTTTGATTGCCCAATTTTGAAGAGTGGTCTGCACTATGCTATTCCATGCCACAACACAAGACGGACTAGCTGTGGGTCTAGATACGGCCGAGGCGGCGAGGAAGTGGAAAAAACGCAAGGGGCACGTTTGTGCAACAACAGAGGGACATTAGGGGGGGAATAGAGCGGGAGCCAGGTGGAAAAGGGGTCCCAGCACATCTCAGGCTCATTTAATTGGTCAAATGCCAAAAGAAGACGTACAGCTATGTAACAGTATCTATTCTGAATGCCTGGATATAGATCTATAGATGAATAAAACCCTGACACAGATATGTTAACCACAGTCAAAACAGTGACGTTTCATTCAGTTTTATGGTGAAGAATGAATAATGACTCATGAATGCATTAAACAGCAATGAGGCTGAAAGACCCGTTAGCTTAGATGGCCCAAGGGGATCAGGTTCTGGTCTGGTCGGGTGCAACTGAAACAAAGCAAGGGTTAGCTCATGATGTAGCCTCTATAACTTGTTCAGCACGAGGTAACTACAGTAATTCACCCAAGCAGAGCACTTATTAAGCATCAGATGAAAAAAAAAAAAAGGGGGGGGGGTGATGGTGTTACTGTTTTGGTTCGGTGTAGTGACGGCCTTCGGCTCAGTCCAGTTTTCTGCAGAACCAGTTTTCTGTCCAGCCCATTCGTCCAACAGCAGCTCAAAAACATTTGGACCAATTTAATGCAATATTAAGAGGCAATTTTGCAAGGGGGTTAATTTTATAACTCACGGTAGCATGAGACGTCACCCTTTTACTACCGTGGTTAGCTTGTAGCCGCAGCCTCCAGCAGCACCTCCTCGATGCTGCTCCGTCTCAGGCTGTCACGGGTCTGGTGGCTTCTAACGGCTCCTTCAGCAAACAGAGATTGGGGGCCCCATTGTTCGGCGGTTAGATTCAAGTTAGCAGAGCTGGATTAGCTCTTCTCTGTTTCTGTTTCAGCAGGCATAAGGTAACACTGCGTTCAAACCGGTTTGAATCGCAGTAAGAATAAAAACACTGCATCCAACTCCTTCTGAATCGCAGGAAAAGGGCAGTCTGACTCAGTCCAGCGAGTACAAACTTCTCCGGAGCGATTTGGTTGCTACATAGCATAGCTTTCAGCTGGGAAGCGCTCAGACTAGCCTTTAGCGGCACAGAGCCCCCGGCAAAATAGAAAGTAACAGGAAGTTACTTCTTTTAAAACCTCTGCCAGAGGGGTGTGTCTTCAGAGGGGAGTAGTTCCGGTTACATCAGGGGCATTTGATCCCAACGGCACCTTCTTCTTCTTTTTGACAATTTGAGCAAAAAACAGTAAATTTCTCCACTGTGAGATCAATAAAGTCAATCAAACATCCATCAATCAATCAATCAATCAGGAAAAAAAGCAATAAAATTAAGCATAAAAGCAAAAGACAAGACATTTTAAGATTTTCCACAAAATGTGATGTGTCATTAGTAATTTAGGAACAAGTGGGCAGAATGAAAAGGTAGGCATGAGACAAAGTGTAAGTCTTGTTGTAAAATATCTTACATAGAAAATAGTGCTGTTGGCTAATGAGATTGCTGTCAGTTGCTTTTGTATCCTCTGTTGAAAAATATTGTTCGGGGTAGTTGTTGAAGCAAGCTGCACAATATACAAAGTTGTTCAGATGGAAAGCTTTGGTCAGTGCCCTAGCAAAATCTAAGGCCCTGTCCAGATTAAGCTGATTGTGAGTGTATAGAACAAGCCCCTTTGTTGGTTAGGGCTCCCATTACGACAGCGCTGCCACAAAACTGATTGCATTTAAAACCAGTTCCAAGCGTGTTTGAAGGCGCCCCCAATGCATCTCTGTCATTATATCCCTACACACATAACTGGCAACACAGCAGAGTGATTATACATGTGAGCCAACACAGCCTCCGTCATCCTTTATGCTAATGCACTGACACCAACCAACAACATCAGCAGAATTTTGTGTTTCGGTTCTCTTCTATAATCTATGTTTTAGAAGTTGATGATTTTGTGTCTTCATCCGACACAAATGCATTTTTTCTCTTTTCTAAGTTCTTTTTTCACATTCTACCCCTTTCTTCTTCTACCATTTTATCTTTATCACAAGCGCCCCAACCACTGGCATAATATTAGCATTACAATGCTCATTACAGGTTGGTCAGCTTTGAGCTGTTTACAGTTAAGTTCTTTCTGAGCAGATGCCTAATTTGACTTCATGTGGATGTAGCCTATACAAGTTTAAAGGGAGAATTCTCCTGAAAGTACTGAGGTGATTGTTTAAAATTAAAATGTCTAAATCTTCTCCAATTATTTTTAGATATCCAAGGGTTTGACATCATTGGAAATTTAGGCCTCCACTCTTTTTGTTCCTGCTTTGTTAGTTTGTTGAGTATTTTAAGTCATTTTCGCCGACAAGGATATTAGACTCTCTACTAAAGACTCATAGAAGATATGCAGCAACACTCTGCAAGCACTGAAGGACCTTAGCTTTCTGAAGAAGTACAATCTGCTCTTTCCCTTCTTATAGAGGTTACATCTCCAGTCAAGTATGTTGTCCAGGTGAACACCAATCTATGTATACTTCTCGACCACCTCCCCTTCATCTACCATGATGGTAATAGAATTCAGCTTGTTCCTGTTGCTTCTACATTGTTCTGTTCAAATTCAGGATCAAATGGTTGTTTCCAAACCATTTCACAAAGTGGTTAATAAGTTCCCTGCACTAAGCTTTTTTTCCATCTTTGATGTATGCAATAATACAGAGTCATCAGAGTGTTTCTGCACATGACAATACTGTCTTGTACTAGAAGTCAGAGGTGTACAGAGTAAAAAGGATTGGTAAGAGTACCCTGTGGTGCTCCTGTGCTGCTAACTACTTGATTAGACAGTTGACACAAACTTTGGGCTGTTTTTCAGGTAGCATTTGATCCAGGCCATCATTGATGCTTCCACCTTAATCTTTTGGGGTTTCTAATAAAGTAAGTAAGGCCGAAGTTTGTTAAATGCACAGGAGAAATCAAAGAACATGATCTCGACTCTGAAACACTCTGAATTGACAGTGGGTTTGTTGAAGCAGGTGTATTATGGTATGTTCAACTCCCAGTCTATGGTGATAAGCAAATTGCTTGTTTGCTTGCTCAGGTGAAACAAAAAGGACTATCTCCAAGACCTTCATGATTTGGTATGTCAAGGGGAACAGGTCTATAATCTTTGGAGTCTGTTGGCTGTTTTTTCTTTGGTTCTGGAACAAGTCAGGAGGTTTTCCACATCACTAGACAGTCTCTTGGGTCAGGCCAAGATTGAAGAGTTGCTGTAGAATCCCACAGAGCTGCTCTGCACAAGCCATGGGGACTCTGGGGCTGACACAGAACCCAGTGAATTATTATGATTCAGTCTCTTTAGTTAGCTCTTAACTTGACTCCTTGAGACAGACAGGTGAAAGGCAGAGGGAGTAGCACCATCTTCAGACGGAATGGAAGATATCCATTTGACTGTAGACAGGAGAGAAGAGTGCCAAGTTTGTTCCTGAACTGAACCTATTGGAGAAAGTATTCAGTCCATTGGCCCTGCCCAGACTTCCAACTTTCTGATTATCCTTCTGCTTGAAGCACATGATCTTCATCCGTCCTGCTGGGGCTTGTTTTCCAGCTTTTTCCTGTATTCCTCGTTGCTTTCTTTTTCCTCCTTTCTTTCTATCTTGTCCTTAGGTTGCTTCTGTATATTCCTCAATAATTTCCTGTCTCTGTTCCTCAAGGCTCTTTTTTTCTTGTTAAGCTGTTCCTCCAGATACCTTGTGATCCATGTCCATTATTTGGCAAGTATCTCACTTTTCTGGTGGGGATGGTGTTTAAAAAGAAGTTTCTGTAGTTAGTCACACACTCAGTCTTTGCATTGATGTCCTCTTCATGTGGCTCACACAGTGCATCCCAGGCTGTAGCCTCAACAGATATCGGTTTAAAAACCCCAATGTCGGTATTGGCCCTTAAAATCCCATATCAGCTCTAGGACATCTGAGATACTTCTCAGCCATACCACAGCTGAATATGAGGTGTGGGCAAACTTTCCTCAGTTCAATATCAGAGATTGTTATATGACAACAAGAAGGGTCTCATTGACCTTATTTTATCCAAGTCAGTTAGAATAGTTATATGTGGAATGGATGTCCTAACTTTTGTCCCAGCAATAAAATGCTAACTTATTATCTTTTGTTTACTGAGAAGGGGAATGTTAGTTTTATTGTTTATCTGAATATAAACCATTTTCTTATTCAGAGAGAAAATAGGTTAGACCTTTGAGTACTTCTTGATAAGAAATCAAATATTGAATTGGGGTCCAAATGTTTACATCTCATTGTATGTATCACCAAGACAATGCACACACTTATTCACAACTATAGTTTATGTGTTCAAAAGCTATCCTATCAAAACTAACCTCCTGTTACTCTTCACATTCTTACAGTGTGACATAGTGACGTCTAAAAAGAAGACAAAGGCACTAAATCTGAGGGGGAAACGACTCAAACTGTTGGGATCCTCAGGCTTGCCCACCAGAGGGCGCCAAGGATCCTCTTCTGCCTTTTGTTGTTTTCTCTTAGGGCTGGAGTTACTGTTGGGATCTGGAGATTACCTTCTGTCTCCAGCAGAGTGCGCCGTGGGTCTCCTAGGGCTGGAGTCTTCCAGCACACCTGTTATGCATCTACTCATCAGGAGACCTCCCCTTTATAAGCTCCTGCCAGACCTTGCTTCCATGCCGCAGTGTTGATCTTAGTTTGGTTAGCAACCTGAGCCTCTGTTACTGAAAGAATCTTAGTTGTCTCAAGCGTGAGATCA